TATATATATATATATATATTATTATATATAGCTATGATGCTGTGCCTGCTTTCAGTGGAATGCCCGCAATTTTTTTCTTATATTTTCTAAGATTCTGCATACTGTCTTAATCCTCGAGATTTCCTGGAAAGTTCAGCTGACAGATATACGATGTTACGCACGGCACGTGTAATATGTGCTATCTATAGTGTACAGCCAAAGCAGCATATTCCACCAAGGTCGCTTCTTCGGAAAGTTCGGCTGGCATTATGCATTTACTCGATGCAGTCATGCATTGTCATGCGTGCTAGTCGCCTGATCTGCCCTGGGGCGCGTGCGCAAATAACCACAAAAAACGCCGCCAACGTTTGTTTCTCTGGCGTGTACGCGCGGTGAATGAAAATTCACGTGCGTCTAAAACTCGCAGAGCCGAATCGATATCGGCGCGGGTATATTATCTTTTCCCCCCGACTACAAAATAAATCTGATGTGCGAATGCACCCGCGTCCTTGGATTGCGGGCAAGGTTAAGGAATGCGCGTGACAGAATCTCAAACGCACATGGGCATAAGAAGATCCGGGTAGGAAAAAGCTATGCGCGCGAGCTCGTAATGTTAGCCGGTACCACGTGGCCGCGAGACACGGGCAAGAAATTGCACGCAAGTGGTAAAGTTTGCGAGCTGGCGCGCTTCTATTTTTGGGTAGCGCTATACACTTTATATATACATAATTTTTTGGCGCTATTTATTGGTCTAGCTGTGGCGAGTGGTTGAAAATGCACGGGAACGAGGAGCCTGTACGAGACGAACATGCACGCGTTCCACCTTTTATACGGACCCACAACAATAGTCACAATAACTATACATATATGATGCGCTGTTTCCCGTAAGTGGCATCTTCATGCGGTGGCTGATCGAGGGACTGATCCAGGGGCTCGATCGTTGTCAGAAATCAATTTTGAAGTTGAACAACTATGAACATAATAATTTTTACTATTATATTAAAAAATGTCATAGTCCGCCTTCTGGATATACATAAAGCCATATATATATATATATTTAGAACAATAATGATTAAAACTAAATTCGCATAAATTATATATATATATTTTATGTATTATATTATATATATACATATATATGATATATCAGGGGTTAATAATGACAAATTGTTTGACATTTGTCATTATTAACCCCTGATATATATATAGAGTCAAGAGATATTATATATAATTTATAGCATGCATAATAATATTTTGCGGCATGCATGGTACAGTGCAAAAAACACAACGATATTACCAGCTGTGCTGTGTGTGTGTGTGTGTGTGTGTGTGTGTGTGTGTGTGTGTGTGTGTGTGTGTGTGTGTGTGTGTGGTGCAGGCGTAGCGCAGGGGGGGTTCGGGGGGTTCCGAACGAAACCCCACCCCGGCCTCCCCCAAGCAAAAACTTTTTTTTTGAAATTTGCCAAGAATTTCAGTCCTCAGGTCGCTCCAGTTTAGTGTAATAATTGCAAATTCTCCTCGTGCGGGAGGTGAACAGTGAAGCAGCCCCTCTCCCACCCTCCCTCCGCTCGTCGCTTGCTCCTCGCCTGGTCGCTCACGCCCAAGAGCAGGGGACGTGTATCAGGGGGGGTCCAGGGAGTACCGAGACCCCCCCTTGCTCCCAGAAACTGGGTACATGCTGAAGGGGTGTGAGTTAAAAATTCATTCGCTGGGGAGAGGCCCCCCAAGCCGTCCCTTCGCGTGCTCGCACTTGGGTTACGTGTCAAACCCGCACACCTGGTACAAATACTGTACACGCCCCTGCCGAGCAAATTGCCAACATTGAAAATCGAACCCCCTCCCCCCCAATATGAAGCTGGCTACGGGCCTGGTGTGTGTGTGTGTGTGTGTGCGCGCACGCGCGCGCGTGCGTGTGTGCGTGCGCGCGCGCGTGTGTGTGCGCGCGTGCGTGGTGCGTGTGTGTGTATAGTATATATGAACCGAACGAGTAAAAACGTTGTCATTTATATTGCAGATAATAGGGTCGTGTGTGTGTGTGTGTGCGCGCACGCGCGCGCGTGCGTGTGTGCGTGCGCGCGCGCGTGTGTGTGCGCGCGTGCGTGGTGCGTGTGTGTGTATATGTATTATGTATATATATATATATACAGATCGAATACAAAAGGCTGGTCGTCGACAGTGGTGTTTACACTGATACATGCATCTAAGATTCTTCATACTACAGTATAGTGATCTTATTGTAATTTGTGTGAATACGCGTACTGCGCCGTGTGACCATGGAGAATATTGAGCGCTATGATATCATCTATCATTAACAAGCAAGCACGCTATGCTTTGCTAATATTCAGCGATTGGTGGTACTGGTAGTACGGTAGCCCATAGATATAGCCTTATAAATAATAAAATGTTATAGCCTATTATGACGCTATGCTCCAAAGCTCGCCAAACGACCTCGCTATGATCTCAGGTGGCGCCAGTGTACGTGGCCACATTTTCGTGTTTTGATTGTAGAACTCCGTCCGTTTTTAATAAGAGGAGAGTAGTGGGTCTTTAGTTCGGCTCGTAGTTTACGGTAACACCTTGCTGGTCATGCAGCGGGCAGGTAAAAGTTTTCAAGTGATATGTGGAGGGTGTGCAGGAAACAGAGGACGGCAGTTCAGTCCATACCTTGCAGTGACGCCGAGGTATTCGGATCCTGTCGCCGGGATTAGAACGCAAGTTGGGATTCCCTTTCGGCTCTGTGCTACAGTAGCCCACGATGTCGTCTCTAAGTATCTACCGAAACATGATGCGTTTGCTTCGCGCCACATTGGTCCGAAACCGTCAGACCAAACAAAAATGCTCAAGTACTTGGGTGTACAGGTAACAATTTTCAGTGCACTGGTGGCCGGTGTTATTCATTAGGCTCCTAGGGTCTATGTCCCCCAGGGTACTGCCGGAGCGTACCCTGGTCACTATTTGATATGGTTAGGGTTAGGATTAGGGTTAGGGTTAGAGTTAGGGAGTAGGTGTAGGCGACTCCCTAGACTCGTTAGTGGAGTAGGCGAGGTACGGTCCGGCATATTACTATTAGATATTACCAGGGTACGTTCCGGTATACCGGACCGTACCCAGGGAACGTTCCGGCAGTACCCCGGGGGACATAGACCCTCTCAGCATTAGTAGGCCTAGTTATTAGTCATTTCATTACACTTTATACTTAATTAATTTCTCTAAGGGTTGGCTGACTAGATGACCGTATGGTCTTTTCGCCATCCCTTCACTGCACGTTATTTATATTTTGTTAAAAAATCCTTGTATCTGCTGATATTGAAAGTGATAAAATAAACTCTCTTATCTCTTATATCTTATCTTAGCATTGAGTGCATTAATACAGTCTACTATAGACTACTAGTACGTACTACATATAATCACTGGCAGCAAGAACAAGCCCGCACGTACAGCACACACGTGGCCATTGACTACCTATATATATTAACTATTATGTTAATATATATAGTCAATGGCCGCATGTGTGCTGTACGTGCGGGCTTGTTCTTGCTGCCAGTGCATATATAATGTCAGTCGAACACCGCCTAGCTGCAATCGGAATTTTACCATATGTACGTCTTACATAGCTAAGTGTATACTATAAGTATAAGGACGTGGATATTCGTCCGAGCATCGGACACCTGTTCGTATGCGCTATTCGTCCGAAAAGTTGTTGCGCATGCGCTGTTCATATTGTATTACATAAATGTAATATAATGCTAGTCTAGGGAGGCGCATACTACCGAACCACGCCTAATCTCTAACCCTACCACTAATCCTACACACAACCTTAACCCTAACACTAAAGTATAAACCGACTCGGTTCGCTTATATACGCGAGTGATAGGACCAAACACTATCTATGGTGTATAACCACATACACAATTCATCAGGAGCTAATAATGACAAATTTGTCATTATTAGCTCCTGAACGTATGTATGCAGGGGCGTCACAGCCGTAGGGCTGCTGTAGCAAAACGCTGTGGGCCCCCAGCCTAAAGGGCAAAAAATCATAAATCTAAAGGGTAAATAGCATTTTAGAGCATCTAGATTTAAAAATTGTCTGGGAGGATACCCCCCAGACCCCCCTTCACACTTCCTACCTCCAGCACTCGTGCCGTGCGCCTGCAGCATGCTACATGAACAGCGCCTGAACTCTACTGGTACACAATTTACAGCCTTGACTTTTCCAGGACCTATGTATTAAGAGTTATAGCCACCACCACCACTCCACACTACACACTACACACTCCACAGATCTATGTTGAAACGTATACAGTAGCCACATGAATATTATATATGTAGTGATAGATATTCTATACATATCTTCATCTCATATTTTCATGGTACCCATGATTCCTACCCAACCAAGAATACAATCTCAACAATTCTCACAGCAGGCGACCATTTACAGACATAATTTTATTATTTGATTTGGTCACTCCTACTTTATAACCTTGTACATATATGATTGGGTCTGGATTAGGTTAGGTTACTGTAAGAGATTATGTGATTAAGGGTAGGATGATGATGATAGTTTATGTACATGGGTCGTAAGATGGGACTAAGTCATTAAGTTTCTGACCTTGTCCTATAGTTCACCTAATAGAGGATCTGCAAACAGTAAACAAATGGCCATGAATATAAGCTAGATTTCTGCACCTCTATAATTATTGACTATTTAGCTCATCTGACATAGTTAGATGCAGCTTGTAGAATCGCATGAGCGTGCGTTCGTCCGGCCGTGCGTCCGTGTGTCAACAGTTGGGCACAAATCTTAACCGCTCGACGTACGGTCACGATATTCGGGACGTCAGGGGGGATCGTCGAAACGAGTTGGGATGTCGAAGCTGGGGGTCAAAGGTCAAAGGTCAATAGGTGTAAAAGAAGGGGGAACATTTCCTCCTTAACTTAATGTATAGGGAGGAAATGCAGAATTGCGGCACAAATCTAAACGGCTCGACCTAGGCTCGTGATAGTCGGTGTATAGCATCATGGTAGG